TGCAATAATTAAAAATAGTAGATCCGCATTTAGAGTTTCCTACTGATCTGATTGATGGTTATGAAAGTAGTAATGTGTGAGTAGTAAATACAAAAGATAATGAGTAGAAAGTTGAAATCAAACGTGAACAGATGTAAAGAAAAGTGATGTGTTACATATAGCTAAATGTGCCGTTTTGAAGGACCAATGTTGGCTAGTCAAATCACGATTTTTTTTAAAAATTTAAGATAAATAAATTATTTAATTTTTTAAATTAAAAAATATAGTATCTGATAATATAAAATCAATAATTATAAATTATATATTTAAAATAATTTTGATAAATAATCATTAATAAAATTTAAATTTAATATATTTTTATAAAAAAAAAAATCTTTAATTAATTAAATTAATTACTTATTAATAAATCACGAAACTTGATACCTTGCACGCGGGATTTTTCCCTGTGAGAAGTCAATTACACTATCGCAATTGAAGAACGAGGGTAATTTGAATAATTAAAGATCTCCACACGAGGCAATAAGGGTTATCCACTAAATAAAATTTACGGGTCATCCACTAAGGTCTAAAAAACAGTGAAACTCGATTCTGCTTTGACGATCACAAAAGAAAAGTGCATTTCTACTGGTTATGTATGAGACACTTTAATGCTGTTTCTCTGTAAATATCCTTAACGATTTTTATCAATGCGTAAATATTTATGAATTTCAATGTGGAAAAGGTTTGATGAATTGCAAAGTGGAAAAAATAATGATGTTTTGGGTGAGATCATTGAGTTTGGCAAAGGTATTTGTTTCCATCAACTTTTACTTGGTAAAATCATTGAAAATAATAATAATAATAATAATTAAAAAAGACTGGACTAAATTATTATTATATACTAGTATATTATTCTTGTGGAGCTAATGTAGGAGTGATGACATTGCAGACTTTGGATTTACGTGTCAAACTGAAATATACAAAGTAGTATTTCATTTTCTAACTCAACCAAAATACGAAAGCTCGGAAGATGAAAATTTAAACGTGGAACGTGCAAGAAAGTAGAAAGTAATAAAATCATATTTTAACGATGTATTGTTAATCTGTAAATGTTAGTATATCTTAAAATAAAATTACATTAATTTTAAAAATATTATTATATAATTCAATAATAATGTATAGCATTATATATAAATAATTCATCAAATATAAATTTTAATTGCTAATTTTTGTAAATCAAAACTTAAAGTTTGAAGAACGAAAATTTTTTTTTATTATTATGTAAAAAATAGTTGAAGTTTTCATTATCTAAAGATTTTAATTAGACTTTCGACTAAGTTTACAATTGAAATTAATTCAAATCATAAAAACGTGATCTCCACCGTAGGATTGGAATGAAGGAGAGAATTTTCTTTGTTTGGCTCGACCGTTGAGTGAGATCTTTGTTAGGTCAAACTGTTAATCTGATAATATAAACAAAATGGAGATACATATTCCAAGTTTGATTAGATGGATGGTCAATAAAATAACAAATTGGTTTCTATTGGTGTGAAATGTCAATGAAACGAAACAAAGTATTTGGGTGAACAGTATAATCCAGCAGCTAAGGAAGGTGATGGGCCTCCATATATTCGTTTCAAGCCCATCAAGGCTTTACAAAATTCAAGGATACAGAGGAGATTTAAATCTTAATTGAAATTCAATTAATAAGAAATCAAATTTGGGCATTATCAGATTAATTTAATTGTGGGTTTAATAAAATCTAGATACGTAATATCTTTTTGAATGAATTTAAGTGAGTTAAGTAAATATGGATGAATTAAAAATTAAAAAAAAAAGTTAAATCAAGTTTGCGTTAAAATAAATTTTCATTTTTTCATAAAAAAAATAAAAAAATTTCTTTTCTTTTGCAAAAGAAAAAGCATACGTAGGAATAGTTGTTTGTATGGGAAGAAGTTTGCAAAGAAAAGCAATTATGATTTCAAGACCAACGGGATGGGGTTACAACAAACAGCTTGGCTTATTCAAGTTTCTGTACTCTACAAGGCAAGCAAATGACTACCTAACATACAGTTGTCATTATTTGAGGCTGTTTCTTTCTTTTTTAATGGCATGAAAGAGTACATATTTAAAATTGACATTTTTTTTTTAATTTAATATTAGACTATGACTTCCAATTTAAAAAAGTTCTCTAAATAAATTAATATGTTATTAAAATTGATATTTAAAAATTATAAGTTCAAAAAATTTTAAGTATATATATACATACATATATATATATATATATATATATCCAAGTTTGGATATGAAGGAGAATGAGTGAAGGAATGAATTGGTGGAAACAGCATATTCTTACGAATGAAACCATGGATTATGAGTTGAAACTTGTGTTTAAAGCAACAGAATTGAAATATTTTTTGACTACGATTTGAACCTCATGCTTTAGAAGCAAACAAGCAGCCTTTTAAGTTGCAACAGAGAAGGATGATATTATTCATAGGTTGTGCTCAGGTAGGCCTAATAAATATACTATAGAGAGTTCCGAATTGAACAAAGTAAACCCTGTAAAGACGAAATTGTAGGAAGATAATGTAATCTATCTTAAAAAAAACCATGGCCAAGCAATAATAACAATGGCATGTGGGTGCCAATTGTCCTACACTTTCTCCACGCCGTCCACTTTATAGAGAGTTGGGACCATGCACAACAATACAAAGTTTTTTTTTTTTTTTTTTGAAATTATAGATAACAAATTGAATTATAGATATGAAAATTTGAATTTTTATTTGAAGAGTAATTATATAAATTAAGTTAAATTTTGATTCATCTTTCTCTTTAGTAAATTACAAAAAAAAAAAAAAAGAAATTAAAGGCTTAGAAGTCAAATTATAAACTCATCTCTAGAGATTAAAAAATTGATATATATTTTTAATTTTCAAATCAATTATTAAAAAAATGATATATATATATAACACTGTTAAAGAGAGATGAATTGAAAATTCAAGAAAAAAATAAATGTGACGAAAAAATGAAAAAAGAGAAATGATTTTAATTTCAAAATTAATAAAATAAATTCAAAAAGGTTGAGTCATTTTTTAAATCACAAAGATATATTTATTTCGCCTTTAACAAAGATCATTTTTTATAATTTATTTTTTAATTTTCAAGTAAAATAAGGTATCATCATAAATTTTTTTATTTATTTTAATCTTTATTTTTTATTTTTTAATCTAATCAGCATTAAAACTTAAGTTTTAATGACATTATATATATATATATATAATCAAATTAAGTTCAGAATCATTACCATTCATACTCACTCTTTATCATGCGAAAAGTTAAATATATAAATCAAAATTTCTTAATCTTTATGAGTATGGCAAGTTAAATGTGGACGTTAAAATATTTGAAACCACAAAAAATAAAAGATAAAGATATATGATTAATGATAATTAATGATATAAATATTTTAAAAGATTCTAAAATTTAATTTCAATGATTTCATAGGCTAAATACAACATTATACAAGAAAAACGATATGCTAACAATCACTTTAATTTTAATTGTGCCGTATATATATATATTTTACAAAAGGGGTTTGTTTAAACATAAAAAAAATTATCAAATACGAACATTTTTATCAATTAATTGAAAAATAATTAAAAATTAATTACTTATTTTAATAAAAATAATTAACTGTTTGTTAAATGTTTATTTTGAAATATTTCTATTTAATTTTTAATGTTCTTATCCTTTTAAATAATGGAAAAATATCAAATAAAAATATTTTTTTATAATATATAAAATAAAAAAAGACAATTCATGTTTTGTAATATAATGATATACAAACAACATTTTCATAATTTTTATGATAATAATAACATGGGATGATAGAGATTTTTTTAAAAAAAAATTTTTGATGTTCAATAATCACTTTAAATCTTGATTAATTTGGAATCAAATTGTATGGAATCTCATAAAGAAGTAAGCTCTCTTAAACTTATTTTTTTCATTTATAAAACTTGAAACTAAAATTTTATTTTAAAAAAAATAAATTCTTTATCACTCGAACCAACAATCGTTAAAAAAAAAAAAGATGTATTATTATTAATTTTTAACTTAACCTTATCCTGATCCTCTTAAGTCTAACAAAGATTATTGTTAATTGTAATTGACTGTAAATAAATTATGCAAATTATCAATTTATTACTTTCTTAATCGATGCAATCTTTTAATTATTGATTTTACAAAGAATCAAGGGTAACTCTAATATTTACAACAATTATGCTTATTCTATTTTATTATTTTCTTCGAAAATTTTTAATACTAAAATAAAAGTAATCCCACTTTAAGAGTGGGCCAAAATTTAGTATAGAATAAAAATAAACAAATTTCTTTTGATTTCCAATAAAACCAATTCAATACTTTTCTAATTAAGAAAAAGTCAATTGCATATAATGGGTTTCATAGGAGAATTATTTAAAAAAAGATAATATTTATAAAAAATTAATATTCAAATTTTAATATATGTAATTTTTTTTTGTTTTTAAATTTCTATTTCTTTTATAAAAAGTATGTAATATTATTCAGCTAATCATTTCTGAACTAAATTTACATTTTAATAAATGATTTAGATTTAATGCATTAATAAAATATAAATTTTATATACTATCATTAAATTATAATTTATTGTATAATTAATAAATAAATTTTAAAAAATTAAAAATCTTAAAATATAAATAATAAAAATTGATTTTAAATTTTTTAATTTATTTATTAAATTTATTAATAATATATAAAATTTATATATTAACAATGTATCGAATATAAAAATTTTTAAAAATTTATATAAAAAAAATGGTAACAACACTCTAAGCAAGATGATCGACCTTGCAATAATTCAAGTTGAATATACTCTCCAATTATTATATTATTATAGATCTTCTACTTCAAAAATTTTTGTTAAATTATTAATAAAATCGTTGATCCCTTTCCCTCCTATCCCAAATGGTAAAGAAGAAAAGAAAAGCAGTTTTCAGTTTATACCTTTTTAATCTATTTTCTGCAACAACCATTCCTTGGCATAAATCCCAAGACAGAAGCCAACAAAGCAAGCAACTTGGACACCATCATTGACCCATCTTGCTATGCTTGCTTCCCTGTTCCAACTCCTTCTCTGTATAAAAACCCAACAAGGACCAATCAAACAAACTTAAACTTAACTAACCTCAAAAACATTCATGGCAAATCCAAGATGGGTTTTTGGTGTTAAGACCTTCTTGATCTTTATCAGCCTTTATCTCTCTCTGGCTAGCTGTGTGATTGCAACTTCTTTGGAAGACTCAGTTGCGCAACAGAAACTTGATAAGGTTCATAAGCTTCCTGGGCAGACTTTTAATGTGAGCTTTGCACACTATGCTGGTTATGTTACTGTCAACGAAGTTTCAGGGAGAGCTCTGTTTTATTGGTTCTTGGAAGCTACTGAGGATCCTGATTCCAAGCCTCTTCTTCTCTGGCTCAATGGAGGTCAGAGTTTAAAACATTTTAAGATTCTTGTCTTGTTTTGACTTTTTGTTTTTCTGTAGCACTATTTGATTAATTTAATTATGCGGGTTTTTACTGTTTTTCTTTTTCTTTTATGCTGTGATTATATGGTACTTAGTGCTTTTTACTGATTGTTGACTATATTTTTGGATGTCCAATAATATGTTTTATGATTTCACAATGTTTTTTTTCTGCGTATATCCTTCTTCCTATCCTAAAAATCTCATTGGTGATTGTGTCATGTGGTTAGCTTTGTTTCTCTTTGTTCCAGTTAAAATCTGCAGAATACTTTTTATAGGAATATTATATTTTGGATTCATTTATTGTGTTTTGTGTTGGCTCTTGTATTTCTCATTACCTTGTTTTTGTTTGGTTTCTAATCACTACAAATACTTCTCAGCAGGGGAAAGAATAAAGTACTTATTTACAGTTTCATGTCCTCAGGGCCTGGATGTTCATCCATTGCTTATGGTGAAGCAGAGGAAATAGGTCCATTTCACATTAGGCCAGATGGAAAGACCCTTTACTTGAACCCTTACTCTTGGAATAAAGGTAATCAATTCCTGTAAAACTTCACTATGAAAGTTGAGCAAATCAAAGCAGTATTGCAAGTAAAAAATTTCTCTTTGGTGTTCCTGATAGCTGGTGTAAAAAATTGGAAATAGAATTGTTTTGCTTCATTTAGCTGAACGCCTGAACCTCTAATATGACAGTATGCTTTATTTCTTACATGGAAGAGAATGATTTTTATGGTGGACAATAGGTTGGCATTGCCAATGAATTCAGTTTTAATATGACCTAGAGATATTTGTTTTCAGGTGCAATCCAACATTTTATTGGTGTATCATTCATCTGATGAACTTCAAACTCTTTCCTTAGGCTATTGTGGGTTTTACAATCCAACTTATTACGGAATCTATTTAGCACTCAAATCTAAAGTTGTTGGCTGCACTCCTGCATGCTACCTCTTCCTCTTTCTCCCCTCTCTTACAAATCAACACAAGCATGGGCTTGTATAGACACCCAAAGTACAAAGTCAAGTGACTGACAAATGTGTATTGATTGAGCGACGTGATTATCATTTTCTTGCCGTAGAGCCCAAAAGAAAAGATTTGATAGAGCTCTATATAATATTTTTACCTCTTTCTCCTTAAAGTGGCTGTTCTGTTTAGATCTACGTTAAGAGTATTACTTACACCTGTTGTACTTTCAGCTTGGGAATATGAATGTTAGAAACTTTCCCTTATTTACAAGATTCTTTTACTGCTTTGCAGTTGCCAACGTTCTATTTCTTGACTCTCCTGTTGGAGTTGGTTATTCATATTCGAATACTTCCTCTGATTTGCTTAACAATGGTGATAAAAGAACTGGTATGGCTGAGGCATTTCTACTTCATACCTTGATTTGAGGTTTTATTTTGGCTAGTTTGTGTAATTGTACCTTCTCACCCTTTGATGTACAGCTAACGACTCGCTGACATTTTTGCTAAAGTGGCTTGAGCGCTTTCCTCAGTATAAAGAAAGGGATTTCTACATTTCTGGAGAGAGCTATGGAGGTAAATGGTCATTTTTGTCATTTTTGTTTGTTTTAAATGTGGTAAAGCACAATTTCTTTTCCTTTGGATTACAAAAACACAATGAGTGAAACAGATGGAAAAAAATGAGGTTTTCTAGCTCTATTATTCTAGCCAAATACTATGCGGGTCTTCTTTCAAGGACCATTTGTCATTAAGTTAAGATTAATAATAAACTTCTTTTTGTGTTTTATTGAGTTACTAATTAGGACATTTCAGAAGTTAAAATATTGAAAAGCACAAATTGGTAATAAAAGTCAGGTTTGGGGAAAAGAAAGATAATTCCCAATACCTAAAATATATTGGATTCACTGGTAATTACAACTAGTTTACCTGTAAAGGAGTGCAAGATGGGTAGAAGGGCAAAACGAGATAACCATCTTCAATTGCATGAGTGTTGACCACTCAGCGGATGCTCTCCTGTGCAAAAGAGTGATTTGGCAATGGCAGAAGTAAAATGAGGTGAAGCTAGACTAAAATTTACTTGTGTTGAAATCACAAAAACCAATTTGTCTTATTTTTATCTTTAAAAATATATTGGTCCCCTTTATAACTTTGGGACTTTGCAATATTTATGTTTTATATATATTTTTTGAACAGTTATGTTTTCTATATTTTAATTGTTCTTGGATGGTAAATACATTGTTGTTGTAGTTTTTACATCAAAGAATGTGTTGCAGGGCATTATGTTCCACAGCTAAGCCAAGCCATTGTAAGATACAACGGGGCAACCAAGCAAAAAACAATTAATCTAAAGGGTTATATGGTAGAGACTCTATTCTAGAAAGAAAGTAGTTTTGCATCATTTGAGCAAACTGAAACATAGAGGTCTACATGTAATGCAGGTTGGAAATGCTCTAACTGATGATTACCATGACCATTTGGGGCTCTTTCAATTTCTATGGTCAGCTGGTTTGATATCTGATGAAACGTACAAGCTATTGAATGTACTATGCGATTTTGAGTCATTTATCCACTCCTCAAGTTCTTGTGACAAGATTATGGACGTTGCAAGTGAAGAAATGGGAAATATTGACCCATATAGCATCTTCACTCCCAGCTGCTCCGCCAATGTTAGCCAGTCAAAGTGGCTGCTGAAAAGAAGGCTTGTGAGTACATAGATACCTTTGCATCTTTAAATTTTAAGCATCTTTTTCCTCTTCTTAAATCAGATAAAAGTTCTTCTAATTAATTTAACTTCAGGTATAAGTTTTGACAGCATTCCAGTTGAAACTATGCCATACTTAAGCAATGTCTATAATTAAAAAATCTTCAACATTAATTTTTTTGGTGGTTCTCATTCCTTTTAAATACATCTAACTATTCTGTCCTCATTCCTTAGGAATTTCAACCATAAGTTATCACATATCATCTTCAAAATCATCATATACATATTTATGGTAACAGTTGCTGCAGGGAGCTGATAATTCTCATCTGTATTTAAGATTTTATCTCCAAGAAGTGAAGCTTCCTTAAGCTATCATAGAGTGCATGGTTGGAAACTTATTGGCCACAACAATCACCGAAATTAACCAGAAATGAAAATTTTAAACTTTGTTTTAAAGGCCTGCTGGTTTGATTGCCACTAAATTCTAGAGTATTTGAAATTTTGTTTGTAATCATTAAGGAAACTTGATCTTATCCAACAGATGGTTGGCCAGCTCAGTGAAAAGTATGATCCTTGCACTGAGAAGCACTCAGAAGTGTACTTCAATCTACCTGAGGTGAAACAGGCACTCTATGTTTTACCAGAAGTTGCAGCATCTAAATGGGAGACGTGCAGGTATGTGGTGTAATTTTGTAGATTTGAATTCCTTCCTTAACCAAAAGTAACTAGACCACCCAACAAAATATTCTAGCTCTGCCCCTAGATGAAACTTATCTTTTAATGTGTTCAAAGGACGCGTCAACTAAGCTGATAAGGAAAAATGCAGAGTCAGCTTCTTTAAAAGCAATTTTTTGAGCCAATTACATTCCTTGAATTCACTTGGAGACATATGTCTTAAAAGATTTTCCTTCTCCTTTTTTTTTTTTTCAGTGATATCGTAAATATCAACTGGAAGGATTCTCCAAGAACTGTGCTTGATATTTACCGTGAGCTTATACATGTAGGACTTCGCATATGGATATTCAGGTTTGTCCTATATCTGTATGTTGCTTTTCTATATAGCTAGCATGTCTAACTTGGGTTGTAATAGGTCAAGCATTTGTGCTTTAGTATTTGAGGCAATGGATCAATATAAAAACTATTCTGTATATGTTATTAGTAACCTTTAATTTTGTTAAATCTCATCCTAGCTTTTTCCGTTAATAATTCTACATTTGTTTTTCACCCTTTTCACTTTTTCATTTGTATATACTGTTTAGTGCATTATATCCTTGATTTATACTTTCTGATTGTGGAGTGGAAGGAATGTAAATTGCTTAAGTTGGCAACTCATGTTTCATGAATATGCTTTGAGTAAATGAAATGCTTTCATTAATCCTGTAAAGTTTGTACATAGATCTCACAACTAGAAAGTATAGGAAGATGAAGTGAAAATAAAATTACTATGAATAAACTTGATGGACAAACTTTTCCAGAAGACAGTAATAGTGTCAATTTGGAATGCTTGAGATAGGCTCTAACCAAAGTCTGGTTGAGATTTGATAGTGGGAAATAATAGTACATATGCAACTATTACCACTGATGAAAGACTGATGGCTGCTAGAAGTGTTCAGGTTGGTAAATATAGCAATATAAACTGTGGGATTAACTTAGCCTCGGTTTGGTAAATACTTTTTGCTATTTGTCTCTAGTTTTCCATTTAAATTTTGCTTTTTGCAAAAAAAAAAAAAAAGATGCAAAAGGTAAAAGCGTTTGCCAACGGAGCCTTGGCATCTTTGTTTTCTTAATTTGTCATTTATAAGGTGGAAGTGTTCATAGTTGCTTACACTGCTGTCTAGAAGACAGCAATGGTAATGGTAAAAATTATTTATTGTTAGTTGTTTCATTTTAAATGCTAGATTTATGTTTAGGCTCTACATATTACAGCTTGACATATCCAACAGTGATTGACCATTTTTTGGAATTTAGACATGTTAAAATAACTGATTGCATCGAAAATTTTTTTTTCAGAGTAATCAGAAGATTAGCTCCGATACTTTTTCATTTGGATTTTTCTATGTAAAAACACAGCTCATGTCTTTTTTACATAATTCAGTTAATGGATGGAGTTTTTTCTTTTCTTGTTGAAGTGACTTCAGATAATTTTTTCTGATGTTTTCTTTTTCCCTCCATTCTACCAATTTGACAGTGGTGACACAGATGCTGTAATCCCAGTTACATCCACCCGCTACAGTATAGAAGCTCTCAAGCTTCCAACTGTGAGGCCTTGGCGCCCCTGGTATGATGATGGACAGGTAAATTGCTTTGGCAACTTCATCATGTTCCATAATCTTTCATTTCTCTAGGTAATTTAACTAGTTTTTACTTGACATATTTGGATTTGATTTGATGCCATATAGTTAGAATTTAGCTACCAGTATTTTGGGCAGTAATCATGGTAGACTAAAAATGTAAGTGGCAAACAGGTAGGAGGATGGACTCAAGAGTATGCTGGACTTAACTTTGTTTCAGTGAGGGGAGCTGGGCATGAAGTCCCCTTGCATAGACCCAAACTAGCTCTCACGCTTGTCAAAGCATTCCTGTCAGGAACCTCCATGCCTGGCTTGGAGCAAGTCAGTGTCTCCTGAATTTGGGTTGAATGTTTCTCAAATGAGGAATAAAGCATCTCTGTTATTTGACTGTAATGTTCATGTGGAACCCACAGCCATTTCTTCTTTCCCCAAAAATATCCAATCAACATTCATCAAAATGTTTCAATTGAAATGTGAACTGTGCTGAAATTATTGGAAATGGGTTAACTCGGAGACTTGTCCCTTTTGAATTTAGCATCTCATTTGTCATGCATGGTTGCATGGTTGATATAAAAAAAAATGTCAATAATTATGTGATTGATGTGAAGAAAAATAAAAATACTTAGATGTTAAGAATAATTTAAAACCTATATATGTTATATGCTATGTTACAAATACAATATGTATATATATTATCATTTATAAAAAAGTCTAAATTAAGTATAATAAAATTTATGATCTTTATTATTACTAATGTTATAAGTTTAATTTTTAATATTAAATTTTGAATTATAATATTTTTTGGCAATTACACTTCTATCATTGAAAGAATTTAACATGGACATTAATATGTTTTTGACACCATGAATATTTAATATATGTTAAATTATACAATAAAATGTAAATATTAAAAAAATTATAACTTTATATGACATAAGTATATAATTTATGAATAATTACTTTTGATATATTTAATTTTTTAATTTTAATTTGAAATAATTAAACCCGCATAAAATATAACCATATAAGCATTATTACTTTCAGGCAATCAACCTTTTGGATTGCTGCAAAAAACGCATTAATTCTTCATCAGTCTTTCAAAATATCAAAGGACCACTAGCTTGAAAGTCTTTAAAAAGAAAAATCTATGAACCCATTTGTATTAAATTTCTATACATCCAAAGTCAAATGATTTCTTACACGGGTTAGAGATGCCAATCGGATCCTTGTCTAAATCCTCCAAATATCTTGTCTTTTAATTGCCGGAAACATGCAGCTAGCTAAGTTGATAATTCTGCTTCTGCATCAAAATCCTCTGATCTCTCTGCGCTGTTATGGCTTTGACTGTGGACATCATTTCCATAGTTCCTTTGCTGAGGTAGATGAGGGCTATGATAGTGTTTTGGTTGGAAGATAGCTTTCCTCTCTCTGCTATGTTGAGAGCAGGTTGGCTTCACTGCTAGTTTTCCTGCTTTTCTTACCTGAATGAAATGGCGACAGCAGCAGTAGTAATACTAGAGAGACTAAATGCTTGACACCTAAGTTTCCGTGCAATTGGTGAACATGAGTACCAGACGCTTGGGGCATGAATTTAATGAAATATGCAAATGGTAATGAAACTATTTGTTCTATGAAATGTTAAATCCATAGCACATCTATTTGATTAGGCAAAATAGCTCTGAATTTGTCATTTTCCTTTATAGAGCCTTCTGTAGCTCAGGGATTAAAGTTTGACACAGCAATTATTGCATGGATTGCTACTAACCTCATCTAAGCACATGGACGACTTGATAACTTGATAGATTTACTATTTGCATTGAAACGATTTTTGCTATTCTCACAAAAAGCAATTCTGGACTACTCCAGACAACGAGAATGGCTCTTCCAACAATAGAAAACATAAGTTAAAAGAGAAAAAAAAAAAAAAAGGCGAGATAACCCATGAACTATGCTGTGGATGATATATATGTGATCACTGCCTCTTCCCTAACTCTTAACCACATTGAGATATCTGGTTCTTGGCTGAATGCTAAGTGCATGTATCCTCTAACTCTTTGAGCTGGATTCCATTCCCTCATCACCCATAATTGTTAACTGTTATAAAAAAGGTACAGAGACATGCGAGGGTAATCTCATCTATGTGGACATTTCCCAAAACTGATTCATTTTTCTATGGACATGTTTACAATCCAATGCATGGCCAAAATGCATTTATATTCTAGCGGACAGGAACAAGTTCCAATCTTGTTCCAAACTCAGTGCACTGTTTTTCATAATAAAGAACAGGCTTTTCAGGTTCCCAGTGCTTCAAAAAGTTACCAACATGACCAAATTTAGAATAACAATAGAGTACTATATTAGCCTCTCCAATACCAAGCATCAGCAATGAAGTACAACTAAATTTTCTTACTAACCCATATGATCCTGGAAAAGAAATTTGTCCCATTCAATGCCAATGCCTTGTCTGCTGACCTCCTTGGAGGTAAAGGTAATGTATGCAGACCTGATGAGCCAGTCATGTTTAATCATGCCGTAAAATACTTAATAAAGTGTGGATTAAATACAACACTGTAACTCAGGTGACAGTCATACAATTTTTGTTTGGTTGTTGATATGTCAGTCAACTTAACAACTCTGATAATGGCCCCGCACCTGGCAAAGTAAGATCTCAAAGCATCTTGAGTGGCCGCAACATGAACCTAAAAAATAATTTAACAACGAGTTATTGCCATAAATGATTCTCAGATTTGTCAGAACCAAGTTTAAAATAGTTTTGACTTCGGACATTATAAACAAAAAGTCGGTGCAGTTGCAGGTGACTCTACAGTGTCAATTGGGTTCTGGTCAATAGAACAACCTGGATGATTTACTACTTACATCTTCTAAAAGTAATCAACAGATATAATAGCAATCAAATCATAGGAATGCATGCATTTGACACAACTCTACCTATAGATTTCTTCTATTACTCCCATTTTATGGATATTAGATACTGATAAAGACCATAGCACTGGCAATCAAAATAAGATAAAATAACCTTTTATATAAATGTATATACACACACACACACACACACAAAACCTCTTAGGTCAAGTGTTGAGTTGTTTTAAGTTATGCCGCAACTCAAAGTTAATCACTCCTAGGAATTGGCAGCACCAATAAGTTTTTATTAAAAACAATAGAATAAGGAAGGTAATTGACATCCTAATATAGAATTTGACGATATGAAGCCCTCTATCGCAGTTTGAACATAATGGAAGAATCAGTAACCTTCCAATTCAATTTCATCCATGATTAAATGAAAAATGAAAACCAAGTGTATGATTAAAGTTTCAAACACTATTACCAACCTATCAAATCATTCTGGAAAGAAATTAATAACACAAAGAACATGGAAGATATACATCTATAATGATTTCTTTTTTCTTGGCAAAACAGAGAAATCTTCAAATCTATAAACAATGAGAAATCCTCAAGACCAATACCCACATTCATGACAAAAGAAGCAACAATTCACTATGGTGCTTGGCTAAGCACAAATATCACAAAAGTTAAGGAAGGCTAAAATACTGAAAAAGCCCATGAACTATTCCATTTTTTTAAATAAGCTCCTATACTTTTATTGTACCCAAATAAACTCTTATTATTTGATTTGTATCCAAATAAGCCTTTATTTCAAACAAAAAATTAATTTATGTTAAGGGTTTATTTAAGTATAAATTAAATGTTAAGGGTTTGTTGGATATAAATTAAAAGCTAAAGACTTATTTGGGTGCAAATTAAAGATCAATAGCTTATTTGGGTGCAAATTAAAGGTCAATAGCTTATTTGAGTGCAATAAAATTATAGGGACTTATCTAAAAAAAATGGTAAATTCAAGGGCTTTTTAGTTATTTTAGCCAAAAGAAATGGCGGCAGCAACCAAACCAAATTGTATTCCAAGGTAAAAGAGATATGACTCAAAAGTGATTCATCTCACCCACATTTGTCACAAACACAGTCCTTGACTCAACCTCTTCTTTAAGCAGATCAAATGAACCTGCAATAGCCAAAGTAAACACTATTGAGGCTGGAAAAAAAGTCTTCTGCATACAAAAATTCACATAAAAGACCAAAAAGAATTTTCATAATTGATTTCCCTTCCTGTATCCATCAACTAAACAGAATCTCGACTTCTCCAAAATATTCAAGAAACAACAAAGTTGAAATTGTTCTGTCAAAACTAAAACAGCAGAACCAATCAAATGTTTTAAAAAATTATGAAGTATCTTGACGTCACTTTATATCCATTTCCATACATTAGAAAACAACTCAGCCAAACCACAGGCCACAAGCAACTTGATTTCAAGTTAAAAGACAGCATAAAAGACATATGGACAATTCGAAGAAATTATTCAACCAAAGATCATTAGACTCATTCATTGAGAGAAGCATCTCACGTGAAATGATCTTACCAAAGCCAGAGGATAAGGCATGATACCCATTCTCGTTAACCGGTTTTGATTGTAGCTTGGAAATTTCTGTTTCAAGTTGACGTAATCTTAATTTCATATCAACCAGTTGCTGCATAAGAAGTGAAAATCTTAAGTATGTTAATTAAGCAAACTCCATTTGAGCTTCAGGAAAGTGACTGATGGTTTTCTCAAGCCGGTGTTTCCTTACAGCTTGGACAGGCCCAATTCCTCCAGTTGCTGCTGGAAAAGCACTATCTGAATTCAGTGTCTGAGTAGACTCTAGAGCTTCCACGCTTAGCTTCTCTTGAGATATTTTTTCTGGTCTGGGGCATACTGATGCATCAAAAGTGAATTTGCAGCATTTACTGTAACTTTTTGACTTTTCTGATTTACATGAAGCGCCATTCTCTTCAAGCATATAAGTGTAATTTTCAGGATGTCTTGTAAATTTTCTGGAGTTTTCTTCTGTTGCGCCTGAAGCAATAATCACAACAATACAGAAGCAATAGACAACAATCAATAATCAAATGCGCAGGAAAAATAAAACACACCAAGATTTACGTGGAAAACCCTCCAGTGTAGAGGGAAAAACCACGGGCCACCAGAAAAATCTTCACTATCAAATAATAGTTATACAAAGTTCTTCTCTAGCTAAAACTAGAGTTAATCAACAACTGGAGAAACAATTGGAGAAATCTCACCAAATAAGTGACTCAACAAATACACCTTGGATTTGTTCCTAGAGAGCTTCAAACCCGATCTTCACCGTTCAGAATGTATAACTCTGAATCATAAACCTCCTGACAAGGTTCCAACTCAATCGGACCACGGATCGACTTCCGTTTAATCAACTCTCCCTTCTCCTTTTTCTCTCTCTGCTTTTCCTGGCTTTTCTTCTTTCTCTGCTTGATTGTCGACACACACATTAAACAACCCTACCTCTTTTTTATTAAGTAGCTAGGGCTCTGTGTAAAATAAAAGATCAAGGCCCATGGCCTTTACTTGGTCCAAAACCACTTACATGGGACTGGACCCCATTTTCCTAACATCTTCTTCATGATCCAGAGAATCTGAAGTGCTAGAAGAAATAGGAATGAGATCATTTAATTTCCTCTTTTGACCACCATTGCTTCTATAAGTTTTCACATTCCAGTTTTGTGACAGATTTTGGTTGACTTGGCCATCTTGAACAGAAGGCATCAATGTATTTTGGCCAAGCCCTGGCGAATTCTGTTCCAACGTTTGCCTCTTGATATTTTCACCTTCATTTACTTTAACCTTCACAGAATTGTCATTTTCAGTCAGCTTTCCTAATCTATCCCAAACATTACCACGTGTGATTCCTTTGATTCCCTTCTGAAGAAATATGGCACCAGCTGCCCTGGAAAAGAGCCTTCTCCCACCAACATTGGTCTCCTGAAAATGCTTGAAAGGCGGCCTTCCTGCATAAAAACCCATACACAAAGCCTTCAGATCCCAGTTTTCAGGTTAATTTCATACAGATGAACTCCAAGAACATGTGTTTGTGCACTAGTGTACCATGTTCGACAGCTATTCTACAAAATATTCAGTTATCTGATAGAAGAGTAAAACTTAGGGAGAGCCATTTTAGATCATTATGGGTATCACTATCAGGCAATTGTCTTGGTAAATAAAATTAATGCAGAGCAATAACAGGGAAAACACACACTTAATACCAAATAAATGCACTATATGCATCAATGATTAAATCTTACTGCATTTAAAATACGCAAACACCAACAAGACAGAGCAATGAACAAGTGAAGCGTAAGCAGACATCCTTTGATTTTACAATTAGCAGAAATTTAAGACCTAATGTCCCTAGAAAGCAGTTTGCTGTTTGGTCCATGAGAAATATTGTTTTTTTTAGTCAGTTACGTGGTGTTTCAAAAGCACCCAAAGTTCAGTAATTAGACACAGATAATAGCTAACAGATAACTAAAAATGATAGGGAAAGGCTTACTCTGATGAATCTTCTTGTATTGCACATGTTGCTCAAGAGGAGGAAGCAGGATTTCAGCGAAGGGCTTCGTTTTAAATGAACTGCCATTTAGGGACCCATCTTGATTATTCTCAAATGCTCTAAAGTTTTCGTTAGATTTGCAACAAAATGCCGAAGCATACTCATTAGTTTCCTCATCCAAAGTGTTAGAAAAGACCGGAAACTGGCAATGACTCTTAGTAACTGATCCTGACCCAGATTTATTGGCAGAAGCATCATTAGCCTCAGTGGAACTTGCACCAGTGATGTTCTCCAAATCCGAGGAGCTCATATTCGCATTTGAATCATTGGAAGTTTCTGATAAACTGTCCCATAGCCTATACAAAAGAAAATGTTTGGCGTTGCAGCAGCAAACTTTAATGTAACAACAGAAAAATGAAGAAGAAACGTGATAAGGTTACCAGGATACAAACTCGGTGGTAGCATCACCAAGAAACGGTTCCAACTCAGCTTTTGCTTCAGACTGGCATTTGCCATTAGAAACAAGCACAATAACGTACTCCTGAAACAACAAATTTTAACAAAATTTAATTAATTCTGTGTTTTCGAAAATCATTACAAACATTAGGAATCGGATTGGTTTTTTCTCGTTTCCCGGAAGCCAAACAATCGTGAAAGAAAAGAAAGGGAGTAAAAAATGAAGTTACAGTGAGGACTCGGATGCTATCGGGAGTGTAATTGAAGTCTCCAAGCAAATGAAGAAGCTTTCTTGAAACTGAAGATTTGAGATTGGAGTTCGACGCCATTAATATTGTTGTTCGCTTCTCGGATTGATTAGGGTTTTCTTTGGTCTTTTCTTTGCTTTTTTTTTTTTGGTTGTTCAAAATTTCGGGAGAAACGAGAGAGAGATTCTACATTAGGACAGTTTCGATGGAGAGAGTGCGAGGAGGGAAGGTGGCGCCTGTTTGGCATATTCCTTTAATTCCAAATTTACCCCTTGAAACTGATAACTGAAAAGGATTCATGCCAGCACCTTTTTGTAATCCTTGATTTGGAGGGGTATATTTCATGTTAAGTCCCTAAGTTTTTTTTTTTTTCACTTCACTTAATGAACTAAGTTTATCTCAATTTCATCCTTAAATTTTTTTAAATCGGAACCTAACATGATTATGCTCAAATAAATATGAATTTATTACATGATAAGTATTAAATGAGAAATTATTTAATAGACAGTAGAATTTTTTAATTTTACAAAAAAGATTAATAAGATAATTTTTTAATTTTATAAATCGATTAATATGATGATAAATATTTTATTTTTTTATATTTTTAATATACACCAAAGAAAATTATCATTCTATTAACTTTCTTTGCGATTTTAAAAAATTATATTAATAACATATTTGATAATTTCTTTAAATAAATAATGTCATTTAAAATATTTAAAATAAATTTTTTATTTTTTATTTTCATTTTTTATTATTTTCATAAAAGTTTCATTTAAAAAAAAACAAAAGAAAATGAAAAAAACACTATCCATGTAGGTATTTATTTTAATATTCTTTGTCAATAATCTTGTATAATTTTATTGTCCGTTTGGTTTGACTAAAACTTTTATGATAAGTGTTGTTTCCGTAGAACTGTATTAAAAATGTGGTAAAAACTAAAATAATATTTGATAAATTTAATAAAAAAATGTTACATGAATTGAAAAATATTGGATAGTATCATATCATATATAATATTATATTATAAAATATAAAAATATCTCATAAATATTGTTAACAATGACGTTTAGGTGAATAATTTTATTATTTGACACATAAAAAATTATTTAAAAATTTATTTACGTAAATATTTATATTGATAACTTTTAAATTGTTAATAACAAAATTTAATTTAAATATGATATCTTTTTAAATTAAATGAATTTTCTAATAATCTAGAAATATTTTTAATATTTAAGATTTTCAAATGTAATAATACATTATCTTTTTAAGTTTTGTTTTTTTTTACATATAAAAATTACTCAATAAATTTTCTTTTTTTATATCCTATGTAAATCATTTTTAAATTGTTGGTAACAAAATTTAATTTAAATATTTTATATGTCTAAATAAATTTCATAATAATCTAGATATATTTTTAAATTTAAAAATTTCAAATGTAATGATATATTATCTCTTAAAACATATTTTTTAATAATTATATATATATATATATAGTACAAGGTATGTTATCATACAAACATGTAAATGTGGATGTCTATATGTATAACTTATTTTTATGACATGTAAGATATATTTTAAATTCAAATAAAAAGTTAATATTTATTTTTAAAATTTAAAAAATCTAAAATAGATATCCAATCTAATATACATTACAATCATAAATCAAACTACAAATAATTTTTTTAAATTTAAAAATTTCAAATATAATTTTATTTTCATAAATTTTCTTATAATTATCTTTTATTATTTGATTTTTTTAAATTAAAAATTACACATATCTATTATATATTACTTTTAAATTCAAAAAATAGTTAATAATTCTAAAATCATTTATGCCTCATATTTGTCATTTAAAATTCATATATATAGATCGTGTATCCTTCATCAAAATTTTTTTTTTTAGTTTGCAACTTTTCTTTTAAATGTATATTACTATTGTCATTTTATTCGTAAAAGATCATATTTTTCAATTTATTTTTTTATTTTGACATGCATCTACTAAATATTTAATTGTTTTATTCAATAATTTAATCAAGATCATGAAAGTATGTAAATATTTTTTATGAATATATTATTTTAAATAATATATTTTGTCCTTCTTAAAAAATAATTTTATATACATTAGTTTTTTGTATATATCTTCTTATCTTTTAAAATTTTTTAACATTTTGATTAAGATTATAATAGTAATGATATGTCAAATAATTTTTTATAATTTAATTATCTTTTTCATTCAAAATTTCCAAAAAAAAAAAAAATAGCACAAGAAATGATTTTTCAAAGACTCCAATAATAATATGGTCCACCAGTGAGCATACTATATAATAACATCCAAAGCAAATTTAATTCAATTCATCATTTTTTTTTTTGCTTTATTTATTTGTTATGATATTTACAATAATAAAAATAAACATAAATCTAATTTGTGTTTATGCATATATACATAAATAAAATAAAATTAATCAATGTATCCCAAAGGTTATAATCTAGTTTTTATAAATTTTAACAAATAAAAATAATAATTAACTAAAATAAATTAATTTTTTTTATAATTTTTACTTGAAAAAATAAATAACCTAAAAATAAAAAAATTTAAATTAGAATAAAAAATAAAATCAATAAAAAATATTTTTATGATTTTATGAATTATTAAAGAGTAAAATAAAAATATAAACAAATTTATTAAATACTTGTTATTTAAACGAGCATGAAAAAGATTTGATTTATAATTTTATCTAAAATTTAAATATATTTAAAACATAATTTCAAATTTTCAAAATTTAAAAACTAAACATATGATTTTTACTTTTGTATGAGATAATTTTTTTTATAAATCGGATCAAACACTCACTTAATATATATTTAAACACTATGATTCAGTGTTTAGTAAATTTAAATTCAATGTTTATAGTTATTTTTGTTTCAAAAATTATTTTTTGTATTCAAACGGAAAATTTATGATTTATATAAGGTAAAATATTATAGTAAAAATATAAAATACAAAATCAAAACAGAAAAAACTCACCAAAAAGAGCAAAAAATTGAACAAAAATTAAATTTAAAGAATATCCTAATATTTATTAAAAGGAATATACTTAAATTAAAGAAAAAGGGGAAAAGGAAAATAGGAAATATAGAGAGAGAAACTTAAAAAAGGAAAAACAAATGAAAATCCAGAAACTGTTATTTTGATCCACTGCTTCAACTTCCTTTATCCCAAACAACACATCATCAAGGTATGCACAAAAGCTTTCTCATTTTTCCTCCTCCTTCAAACAACTTCACTTTGCACTCATTTTTCTTTACTTCATTCATCCACAAAAAATAAGGCATAAAATTTTCTTCTTCTGAGTCAAAATTTGATGAACGGTAACAATAACAGCTATGGCTTCTGTGAAATTGTTCATTTCTTGTGACACTGTTGATTCAAAGAAACTCAATTCCTATGTAAACCCATCTCATTTACCTGATCAGTACTCTACTTTTTCGTTCGCTGGATGTCTTCATGCCGGTAAAGCTGCTTCCATACTCAGTTCTTTGACTAGGCTCAAGCATATTCGAGTCTCTCGCTTTGAAACTGAATTCCCTCATATTCCTGAACCAAACCCAGTCGTTAGAGAAACCCTTTTTTCTTCTAAAAATGATTTAGTGAATGAAAACCCAAATTTTGTGGAGGGCCCAAAAGTTCAAAACCCCAAGAAATGGATTAAAAAAAATGTGGGTTTCAGGTTTGGTTTCAGAAGGAATAGTAATGAGATAGAAAGAGTGGATCTTTTTGTGTATAATAATAGTGGGTTGGATGTTGATTACTCTGCTATTAAGCCTGACTTGAACTTGGAGCATTGTAATTCTATATTGAAAAGACTTGAGAGGTCTAATGATAGTAATGCTTTGAGATTTTTTGAGTGGATGAGGAGCAATGGGAAATTGGAGAGAAATGTGACTGCTTATAGATTGGTTCTTCGAGTGTTGGGTAGGAGAGAAGATTGGGATGCAGCTGAAATGATGGTTAGGCAAGCGAATGGTGATTCAGGCTGTGAACTTAATTTTCAGGTTTTCAATACAATTATATATGCGTGTTCTAAAAGGGGGCTTGTGAAATTGGGTGCAAAGTGGTTTAGGATGATGCTGGAACATGGGGTTCGGCCAAATGTTGCCACTTTTGGCATGCTTATGGGACTTTACAAGAAGGGTTGGAATGTTAGGGAGGCAGAGTTTGCATTTTTACAAATGAGGAATTCTGGCATTGTTTGTCAGTCTGCGTACTCTGCGATGATCACAATTTATACACGTGTAAGTTTGTATGACAAAGCCGAAGAGATTATTGGCTTTATGCGAGAAGATAAAGTCGTATTGAATCTTGAGAATTGGTTGGTGATGCTTAATGCCTATAGTCAACGAGGCAAGTTAGAGGAGGCTGAGCAGGTATTGGTCTCAATGCAAGAAGCAGGCTTTACTCCAAATATTGTTGCATATAATACACTAATCACAGGGTATGGAAAATCATCGAATATGGATGCTGCTCAACATGTATTCCTGAGCATTCAGCAAGTTGGATTAGAACCTGATGAAACAACTTACCGTTCAATGATTGAGGGCTGGGGACGTGCTGACAATTATAAGGAGGCGGGATGGTATTACAAGGAGCTGAAACAGCTGGGATTCAGGCCTAACTCCTCCAACTTGTACACGCTAATAACTTTGCAAGCAAAGCATGGGGACGAAGCGGGTGCCATTAGAACTCTTGATGATATGCTCAAGATGAGGTGTCAACATTCTTCAATCCTTAGTACTGTTTTGCAAGCATATGAGAGTGCTGGGAGGATTGATAAAGTGCCTCTCATTTTAATTGGGTCTTTCTACCAACATGTCTTAAATGACCAGACTTCATGTTCCATTTTAGTGATGGCTTATGTGAAAAATGGATCAGTGGATGATGCAATTAAAGTGTTGGGCAGCAAAAAGTGGAAGGATCCAGTTTTTGAAGATAACCTGTATCATGTATTGATTTGCTCTTGCAAGGAGTTGGGTGATCTTGATAATGCTGTTAAGATATTTTCTCAAATGCCTAATGCTGAAAACAAGCCTAATTTGCATGTAATTTGTACAATGATTGACATTTATTGTGTCATGGGTCACTTCACTGAAGCAGAAAAACTCTATTTGAAGTTGAAATCTTCAGGAGTTGCCTTGGACATGATTGGCTTTAGCATAGTTGTAAGAA